CGTCCCCGAGCTTGCCGACGAACGCGGCCCTACCGCCCAGCCTGGCCACAGCTATGGCGACGTTGGCAGGAGCACCGCCGGGGGCCTTGAGGAAACCCGGAGCCTTCGCTAGGGAGACGCCGGAGACGGTGGGGACGAAGTCGATCAGCATCTCCCCGAAACTAACGATCAGACCCTTCTCGGAACCGCCGTTGCTAGTCAACGCCATATCTGATATTGATAAAATAATTTGGAAAGGAATAAGGGATCAAAAAAAAATAAGAGTAATTATTTCGCTGTGTATTGATTTTTTTCTTGGGGAGTTGAGTGAGAGAGCTCGTTTTATAGATAAAATAAATGGGAGGTAGTTGGGTGAGAGTAGAATTATACTGAAGCAAAAAAATTAATTTAATTAATTTGTAGATAATGGATATGGTTAGGTTTAAGATAAAATTTTACTCTAGATAAGATAAATTTAGAAAAAATATATATATAATTTATTTATATATTTATCGGCTTTGATTAGCAATTAAGATTGATGATTTACTAAATATTTAGTAAATATACATGCAATTTTATGAATGAAATATTTATTTATGGATCATGTACATAATATAAATGTTTACCTAAAATTTAATATAATATGCAGTGGTAGAAGTATATGCTTTACACATTATATTAATTTTAAATAAATAATTCTTACATTTTCACATTATTATGTCTTCTATAATGTCAAACTAAGTACCACAATTTATTCTTTACTGGAGTAAGTCACCGAATGAATAAATACTCTAAATTCTAGAATAAGCCATTTTTTTTTTTATCATGTGAAATAACAAAAGCTGGAATTAAATATATTTATTTTCATCTCCAAGTATTTGAAGGATATGTTTTCTTTTACATTTTTTTTTTTTTATTTTCTAGAGCTCATTGGATAATATCTAATATAATATATTATTTAATTTTGTTATTTATCCTTAGCAGATTATATTATCCGATAAAACGAGGTAACATCAACTAAACATAATTTAATTTGAACAAGATTATTGAATCTTGTTTTTTTTTTTTTTATCCTAACTTATCTAATAAAACAAGATAATATTTAAAAATAAACAAGATAATATCTAAAATCTTGTTATTTATCTTAATCGTATGGAAAATATAATATCTAACATCAACCGATATTAGAGCAACAGCAGTATATTTAAATCTTGTTATTTATCTTAACTATATCAGGATAATATCTACAAATTAATTAAACGAGCAACTCTAAAAACAAAAGATAATTTGTCCAACGATAATTTTTTCAGCAAAAGATAAATTTTTAAAGGATAATTTATTCAGCAACTCGCAAGCTCCTACAAAAATCTGACGGTGCCTTTTATACTGTCAACCCAAATATTTTGAATGTTAACCGTCTATGTTTAAACTAGTACGCTAACCGTGCAATTCACGGATGCATTTATTATCGGAAAAATTGTATTGTTCGTTCACTAATTATATCTTCGTTGCACTTTCGTCCTTTAATTGTTTCCGGTTTACAATTGGTACACTAACTTTTTTTTGAGGTATTTTTAGTCCAAAATGACATTCCGATGCTCATTATCGCCGGAAAAACTGATGTGGCACCCAGTCAGATCGGAATTTCCATTCTCAGCCTGATGTGGCACGAGGTGGCGCCCAGTGTGATCGGAAAAATTACACTATTCGTCCACTAACTTTACATTCGCTGCACTTTCGTCCTTTAATTATTTCCGGTTTACAAAATAAGAAGAAAAAATATATTAAGAAAATCAAAAGAAAAAGCCTAAATTTCATATGTGAAGACATGTGGATAAAAAATTAACCAAAAAAAAGAATATTAATTAATAAAAAAATCATTTCTTAATGATTTTAAACAAATCTTTTTTTTTATTTAATAAAACTACATTTTTTATTTAATTAAAAACAAATTAATTAATAAAAAAAATGAAATGAAAAACAAAATTAATATCTAATGAGAAATAAATATTTTTTATTTAATGGTTAAATATTTAATAAAAAAAAAATATTTATCATTTTTTATTTAATGAAAAAATATTTTTTTATTTAAATAAAAAACAAAATATTCAGTGATGAAATAAAAAAGAAATATTTAATAAGAAAAGAAATATAAAACGAAATAAATATTTCATGAGTAATAAATATTTAATAAATATTTTCTATTTAATGGTTAAATATTTAATGAAAAATGAAATATTTAATAAAATTTTTTTTGTTTTTATTAAATATTTGGTTTTTTTACTAAATACTTAATCTTTATATGAAAAATATTTATCACTCATTATAAATTTATTTCGTTTTTATTAAATGTTTCATTTTTATTTAATCATTAAATAATTCATTTTTTCTTAAATTAAGAAAAATAACTAGTGTACTTCTCGTGCGTTGCACGGTGGGGTCTATTCTTCAAACCCTTTTTTTCTAAACTTTATTTTATATATTTTTCCTTAAAAATTAATCATTTGATTATAATAGAAAAAAAGAGAGAAATACAAAGTATAAAAAAAATTTATGTTATTAAACACTTCTTTATACACAACATTCTTGGTATGGTAATAGTTTAAGTGTTTGATATTATTTTATTAAATATTAGTCACCTTTAACACAGAAAACTTACGTTTTATAAGCTCACGAGACTTGTCAATCATCCATTCACCCCAACATATGAAAATGTATTGCAGAAGTATTAACGACTCCAAATTGAATCTTGTATCTTTATAAATACGAAAGGCATGTTATAAAGTACCAAATAATACAATAACTAAATAAAAATTATTGAATATTGCGAAAAAAATTTATTCTAACGGTGCATTGCCATGTGTATGGGTGCACTCGGTGCAATGCATCTCACCATCTTCACTCTCCACATTGGTATTGCACCTTTGCACACAAGGTACCACAAATTATCAATAATCGAGTAGATTGTGGGACAAACTCGTGTGTCAATAGCCTTTAAATAAAAATATTAAAATTTTAATCCTAATAATAAAATATGTATAACACATATATGGAATGATTTTATAAACTAAAATTGGAATATATTCTTTGTATTATGGAATCAGATTTTAGCATTTATATTAATATAAAAATTAAAATCTAATATTTTATATGGAAGTGAAATTTACTTTTCTAAATGTAGTGGACTTAAATTGTGCTAACTTATGGAATTAGATTAGATTTTAGCATTTACATTGAAAAAAATAGGAATCATAATCTAATATATTTTTGCAAATGAAATTTACTTTCCTAACCGTAGTGAACTTTTTTTAGAATTTTAGTCTTGTCAAATTAGTATCAATATGTGAAGAATCGTAACTTTTTTTTTTTTTTTTTTTTTTTTTTNTTTTTTTGCAAACGAAATTTACTTGCCTAATTGTAGTGGACATATTTTTTTTACAATTGTATTTTTGCCAAACTACTATCAATATAATTTTCAATATCTTCAAATTATACTCATTTTAGGATTATTACATATCCAATTTTTAGATGGTGGGATTATAAAAAAAAAAAATCTCAATTGTCCAATTGTTAATTATGTATGAAAATCGTGCAAATGAGTTTTACTACGCCTAGGGTACTGTTTTAGAATTATAATAATGTTAAATTGCTATCGATTAGAGCTTTAAGAACACTTAAATTGTGCTACTTTATGGAATCAGATTTCAACATTTGTATTGAAAAAAAAAATCAAAATCTAATATTGTATATGCAAAGAAAATTTACTTCCTAAATGTAGTGTACTTAATTGTGCCACCTTATGGACTTTAATGATAAATAGGTTTAAAATTAGTTTTATTGTGATTATGAACCAAGAATGGACAAAAAGAAAAAAAGATCCATATGTGTAATTGTATTTTATTATTGGAAAAATCGTATTTTTTATAATTGGTAATCTTTTGTTGAAATTAACAAAATTCGTATTTTTTTATTGGCAAGAAAAAAACTTTTAAAATAAAATAGTTTAAATTAACAAAAATTTAGATTTTTTAATCGGGAAGACAATCAACTTTTAAGAAATAAATAACATAAATATATCCGATAGACACAAAATTAGGCCCGATTTTGTTTCCAAACTGACCCAATGTTTATATTTTAAATTTTTGAAAAAAATTAAGATATCACATAGGCGGAATTATTCAAAGTTTGGCCAAAAAGATTACTCAATTTAGTAAATATTTTAGGCAGAAAACCAAATATATTTTTTAATTTTTAGTTACTATTTAAGTAAATATCATTGTCTCTTTATATGTAATAGATAAATTTATTATCTTATCGATTATATTCAAGTATTCAATTTGAAAATTTATGTAATCTTACTCAATGGAAATTTTGTTCAATCTCTATTTGTAAGTTCAACTAATATGGGTTCCGTGCAGTACACGGGTAAGAGATATTCTTTAATATTTATAAATAAAAAATTCAAATAATATTTATAATTAAATAATATGGAATCAATATGTGATACAATTTACCTATACTAATTTATTGAAAATGTTATATGACATTTAAATTGTGCAAAATTACATAAAAATGTCTATTCAGAATTAGTATACAACCCGTGCGGTGCACATAACTGATAATAAATTCATTATATTTGTTTCAAAATAAGTGTCATTTCAAAAATTTTGTTCAAAATTTCGATTTGACTATAATGTGATTCCATAAAATAGTTATTTTGATAAAATTTTATCATGTATTTAACAATCTATGTGAACAATAAGTATAAATATAAAATTTATATTGTTTCATTACTTAAAATAAATTTATTTTTGTATAAACTATTCAAATAAAAAAAATATTAAGCAGTTGAGTAATTTATTAAACTATAAATAATTGATATTTCGTTTACGTCTAAGTTAATATTTGACACATAAGTTATTGAGTATTTTATTAAACTAAAAATATGTTGTTATGTGTGAATTAACGAGGATTATTTAGAACAAGTTGTGTCGATTATCAAGAAAGATTATTGTTAGTAAAAATGCTAAATTGAAGGTGAAAGTTCTTATCTCTCTCTTTTTCCCTCGTCCTTTTTTGTTTTTATAGTACAATACAAAATTATCAAGATTACAATAATTCACAAGGAAAAGTAAATGGCGGCTGATCGCCATTCATTCTTGTAACACTCCACTTGGCAAAGCATAATGATGATTTCGCTGAGTTGGCACCGCCCCATGATGTCGGTTT